ATTCCAATACGTACTATTGTTGCTACATTTCACCATTTTAAAGCGGTCGATTGCTGCAACAGCTTAAAATTCAAAACGTTCGTTTGGAGCTACATATCGCACCATTCCAAAACGTTCGATTGTAGCTACATTTCACCATTCTAGAAGGTTCGATTGTAGCTGCATTGCCTCATTCCAGAATATTCGATTGTCGCTGCATTGCACCATTTAATTGTTGCACATTATATATTGTTGCTACATTGCTCCATTTCAAAAAGTTCGATTGTAGCTACATTGCACCATTCCAGAATGTTCGATTGTAGCTGCTTTGAACCATTTCAAAGCATGTAATTGTTGCTACATTGCACCATTTCAAAACATGCGATTGCTGCTACATTGCACTATTTTAAACCATGTCTTGTTCTCCACATTGCACCATTTCAAAACATGCGAATATTGCTCCATTTCGACACGTTCAAGTGTCGGGACAGTGCACAATTTCGATCATTTAAATGCGTCACCATTCCGCGCATTTTTATGGCAGTCTTGCGCTGCTCCACGACGCGAATGCGGTGATGGCACCGAACTGGCGATCGATGGCGCATTTAAGAGCGTCGTTTACGTTCGCACCGCACAATTGATCTCACTCTGGCACATTTACGCGCTTTTAACTATCACCCATCAGCCTTGAATTGCTTCGCTTTATTGAGTGCTCTTTGCTCCAGGCTTTTCCTCTGATCAATGTTCTTGCTGGCAGCTCAGAGTGTTCCGAAATTTGCTCAACGTCTGTAGTTTATAGGACTGAGGAATTCACGTAGCCGCTTGTTTTCCGTATAACATAATTAACTTTTTGGGTATAATCTGGTTTGATTGTGATGAATAACCAGCAAGCCGATATTAACCGGCCGTAAGCTGAATAATCCCGAATCAATCAAGTATTTGAAAGTAGGGAAAACTTCAGCCATCTCGAGAACTGCTCCACGGTCAATTAAAAAATTTGAATGTCAAAATTTTTAAAACTTTCGGATCGATGACTGAGCTGTTACGTGGGGTTTTCTTTGATGTTAAATACTTGATAACCAGAGTTGGGATAAACCAATTCGTTTTGCCAGATTCCATTCATTTGGGTATTCAGTGTTTTCGGTTTTACAATAGTTACATTTGTAAGGTGCACAGCTGGTGTCTGTGCCACAGGTGCTGCCAGCTGTCGCTGTCAGGCCGCTGTTTACAAGACGCTTTCTCGTCAAACTTAAGCGAAGTAATAGAAGCAAAAACTTGGCAATTAAAATATGTTCAAATTTATACGTTCGCCATAGGCAGCGGTTATAGGGGAGTCCCGAAAAAATTAGTTCATTCTAATACATATATCACGATTGAAATAAAATTTGTCACAAAAAATTCAGTCCCTCCGTTGAGTATTGCATCCTGAACTTATTGTAGATGTATTATTTCTCCTTGAAAACCAAATCATTTTGATTGCGCAATATTAATTCAAATAGAATATTTATTTAAATAGTACATTAATAGTATTGATACTACTCATATTTTAATTTTTAATGATTACTATTCTATCTATAAACTATCAAACATTCATGGTACTAAATTAAATTCTACTTATTTTCTGATTTTTATTTGTGTCCAGCAATCGGTGTACAATAGCAATTTCATACCCATTCCTATCTTAGGTATTAATTCTATTTGATATCAATAATCTAAATAATCTTTAAAAAAATATATGTAAAACGTAAATTTTTTGTAAGCGCCAGGTCACGAGCCTGCAAAAATGACGTGATTTTTTTTCGTGTGGATAAAATTGTGATGAAGTCCACGGGTATTGGTCGCAGCATTTGATTTACTTTGACGATGGTTGACCAATACATCGTTTAATAGACTTTGTGCTCTTCTTTTACTGATTAATGGCTAAAATGCATGCTTAATTTGCTCATCTGCTACTTATTTAACTGTACTGCATTACGGATCAATTGTAGGGAATTGGAGAGCTTGTGGGGGATTAGTTATTTTAAGAGAATTATGCATTGATCATTCTACTATTACCATGTAATGTAGAAAATTTTTCTTGTTTACTTCGTAGTTCTAGAGTGCAGTTAAGCTGCCTGTTAGTCTCATTAATATTTATTGCATAATTAAATGTCGTTGCATTACTGAAATTATATTAATATGATCCATCTTTAGTTTTTCCTGACAAAGCACAACCCTCAGTAATAATTGTACAGATAAATTTATTTCCACAGCAGAGACAGATCTTACATTCCCGAGACAGAGATAGCATTAGTTTTTGCTGCTTCTCATGTTGCAGCAGCAGCAGTTTTGCTCCACAAGCCTCATGTTGCAGCAGCAGCAGCATCTTGAGCCATGAGGGTCTTTGATGAATATAATGCTTAATTATTGTTATGAATTATTATTCATAATATTACATTATTAATATTATGATTATTATTATTAATAATATTATTATATTATTACAAATTATTCATTGTTATGAATAATTTTTTCTAATTAAAGATGAATAACCATAAATATTATTTATTCAGCATAAATAACTTGAGTTATTCATTTTGCAATACAAATTTAATTCAAACCAACATCATATTTGAGGCAATTTATAATGGGTACGGAAAAAAATTTTATCCGTTATAAATAGATTGGCCTTATTTAGAATGGTTAACTGAAAATGTTTTAATCTAGCATAAATAAATGCAACTAATATAAGCTGGTTGACACATAAATACTAATCAATGAGTAAAAATTCGATCTAATTTATAGTGACAAATCGAAAATTGCATGTCAACTTACGTGCCATTACGAAATTATTCAACCATTAATTATTATTGTGTAAGATATTTTCGATCATCCTAGCTCGAAGATATTGAATCACATGTGCTAAAAAATTCTTAGGACTGAGCTTGCGCTTCATTTTCGAAATCTAATTCAAAAATATAGCTTTCATTCGCGTGGAAATTTTATTGCAATATTTAACAATTTTGGAGAAGAGGGAGATATCTCAAAGAAATAGTCGAGCAAATAAAAGCCATGACTTCAGCAAAATGTTGTACATGTTCAAGAAAAATATTGTGAGCTTCCTTTGAAACCATGTCCTTTGAAAAGACAGGAAGTCAAAATTCTACCTTCCCTTGCATAGATTTAGCAAGAATTCAAGTGCCGCATCTATGCTGCATTTTCTTGCAAGTCTCTCGAGGTTACATTTGTACTGGATTTCTTTGTTCGTATTGTAGAGATGAAGAAGTGCAGTTGGCCTATTAACAGAAAATTTCGCTCTGCATATCGACTTGTTTTGAGGAAATTTCAGTTAATAATTTATGTATATAAGTAGTGTAGTTGACTGCAATTATATAAGTGGTGCAGTTTCTAGATCTCTCAGTGATTTCACCAGCGAGCTTCGGCCCTAGGTACATTATTCTTGTGATGCCGTTTCAGTTCGCATTTCACATTATGAGCAATATTTTCTAAGTTATTTTGTATGTACAATATTCTCTGTTATTTATTTCATAACTTATTTACGTAATTTATAACGAAGCTCTCACTCAAGAAATATTCCACACGTCTCTCACTCCACCATCCTTCTGCACACTTCACCGCCATCGCACACACATTTATGCTAACCATCCCATTTCTCACTTTACCTCCATCCCACCATCATCCCTCCCACCACCATCACCGCAGCAAAGATTCGCAGGTTCGGCGCCGAGGTATTGCTGAGGTCTTACCTCAGATCGAGCAAAGACTCGCAGGTTCGGCGCAGAGGTATTGTTAAGGTCTTACTTCAGATCGAGCAAAGACTCGCAGGCTCGGCGGCGAGGTATTGCTGAGGTCTTACCTCAGGTCGAGCAAAGACTCGCTCGCTCTGCGCCGAGGTATTGCTGAGGTCTTACCTCAGATCGAGCAGAGACTCGCAGGTTTGGCGCTGAGGTATTGCTGAGGTCTTACCTTAAATCGAGCAAAGACTCGCAGGTTCTGCGCCGAGGTATTGCTGAGGTCTTACCTTAAATCGAGCAAAGACTCGCAGGTTCGGCGCCGAGGTATTGCTGAGGTCTTACCTCAGATCGAGCAAAGACTCGCAGGCTCTGCGCCGAGGTATTGCAGAGGTCTTACCTCAGATCGAGCAAAGACTCGCAGGCTCTGCGCCGAGGTATTGCAGAGGTCTTACCTCAGAGCCGACACTGATCCTTCTAGCCGCCAATGACTCCGTTTCTTATATGCACTCTCAATAAATAATACTTTGGTCGAGATCGCGCCACAGCTTTTGGCCCCGCTGGCTCTACGCTCGATATTTTTGATTTCTTGAGTGGATGCGTTGGTATTCCTTGGGGTATTGAGAGGAATTTCCTAGTGTCAGATAAGGATTCACGAGGTACATATCCACATGACTGATTGGTTTTCGAGAGGAATATCTACAGGCTTATCGGTTTTCGAGAGGAGTATCCAAACGAATGATCGATCTTAAGGAATATCTGTGCGCTTATTTTAATTGGTGTTCGAGAAGAATACCACGCCTGATCTAGGAACTGATTTGTACTCCCGATTTTCGTTGTCGCGTGTCGACATTTTCGAGTCATTTTTAGGCTTTTTTCTTATATAGCGAATGCAAGCAGAAACTTTTCACTCTGCTCGGATTTTTGTCATTTTGGAGTGAGAATTAGGATAACGGCTGATATATGTGTTTGCTAAGAAACTTGTCGAACTTGGAGTAACTCAAATTATTGAACACAATTATACACATTTTGTACAAATAATTGACTTCTTAAGAGCTTAATTCATTGTTCCCTTTATTTTAAACAAAAATATTGTTTTTTTTTATTCAAAATGCTTTCATTATGGAACTGCGCTTCTTTTTAAAATGTTCTTATTTAATGCTCTGTTTCTCGTTAAACATTTTTCTTTACATTGCGATGTGAGATTTGAATTTACTTACGTCATATAATTTTATAATTTCAATTCCACTACAAAATACTTGTTTCATCAGTGCATTTCTTTTGCCGCAGATGGTGACACGCACGAAGAAGATATTTGTAGGGGGACTGTCGGCCCCCACGACCCTGGAAGACGTCAAGAATTACTTCGAGCAGTTCGGCAGGGTGAGTAACTATTGTGCATTTTCTACAGATTATTTTATATGTTTTCACAACTATAACTCATAAATAAAAAACTTTAAGAAGCGTTCTGCAAAGCTAAGCAGGGCTGCAGCTTAGGTGTGGTGCAAAGCTAAGCAGGGCTGCAGCTTAGGTGTGGTGCAAAGCTAAGCAGGGCTGCAGCTTAGGTGTTGTGCAAAGCTAAGCAGGGCTGCAGCTTAGGTGTGGTGCAAAGCTAAGCAGGAAGTGCACACAAAAACAGGCCGGAAATTTCCTCATCCATGAGCATAAAGCGGCTGCGCTTTGCTAGCTGCTCCGCCCGATTATCTTAACAATAGTTTAACTAATCAACCATTCTAATTACGAGCGTATATTGACAAACCGACCATTTGAATTACGAGCGTAGGCTGACAAACTGACCGAATTACGAGTGAACATTTCTTCCAAAGCTGGAATTTTTTATAACCCACTTGCTAAGAGAACTAGTATAATTTTAATATGCATAAATATTTTAAATGTCTCTAATGAATTTTGTTTGTTTTGCATTTGTATGTAAGTCGTAATATTTCAGTTACCAAGCTAATAGCAAATCATGTGTGATTCGATTGTTTTTGAATAAACTTTTCATTTATCTATTTGAAAATCTACTGGGTGATTTCAGATTTTTTTCAAAATTTCTAATTAATATTCAACACTGATATTGTAAATGCATTACTTGCATGCACAACTAACCTGGTCGCCTTCAAATCAACGTCATATGTCGTTATCATAACTGCAATAACTCCACTCCAGAGTCATTATGTAATTCATTCAAAAATTATTCGCCCTGGTCCTCTCGCTTCGACTCTGGCCAATTAAATTAGTTCTCATTTCGTTCACTCTCTCTGCACTATCTAATATCACAAAAATACTATCAATAAGAATCACTTTCAGTCTCTTTGTTAATTTCATTATTTGGTAAAGACCCAATTCTGACAAATTAAGCCAAATTCCCTAAATATTACGTGTTACCTGAACTTTGCATTGCTTTTCTTGAAGACGATCTCACTGTTGATGTTGCCCTTTATTTGGCCTAATAAATGAATTGAAGACTTAGACTTCCTTTTCTGCACGTCGCTGTTGCTTCCAGCGGAAAAACCTCGCCTCACGAGACCGTTTCTCGCCACGCTATTGTTGTCTCGCCATTCTAGCCATTATTTATCTAACGGCTCGTCGCTCCATGTCAGTCCGCAAGCGTGTCGCCGCGAGATATTTTCTGACTTTGATATCTGATAGCTGAGACTTGACAGTCTACTGCACCGCCCTTCAGTGCGTCTGATAGCTGGGACTTCTTATAGCTGCGGTCTACTGCACCGCACTTCAGTGTGGCTGATAGCTGGGACTTGATAGTCTACTGTACCGCTCTTCAGTGTGGCTGATAGCTGGGACTTGACAGTCTACTGCACCGCTCTTCATTGTGGCTGATAGCTGGGACTTGACAGTCTACTGCACCGCTCTTCATTGTGGCTGATAGCTGGGACTTGACAGTCTACTGCACCGCTCTTCATTGTGGCTGATAGCTGGGACTTGACAGTCTACTGTACCGCTCTTTATTGTGGCTGATAGTTGGGACTTGACAGTCTACTGCACCGCTCTTCAGTGTGTCTGATAGTTGGGACTTGACAGTCTACTGCACCGCCCTTCAGTGCGTCTGATAGCTGGGACTTCTTATAGCTGCGGTCTACTGCACCGCTCTTTAGTGTGGCTGATAGCTGGGACTTGATAGTCTACTGTACCGCTCTTCAGTGTGGCTGATAGCTGGGACTTGATTGTTTACTGCTTCGCATTTCAGAATTTGTCGACACATATCTTTTTCCTCGCACTCATATTAAGTCGCATATTTTACTTCACGGTTTACAGCTGCACGACTTATATTGGTACATCTTACATGCGGCATTCAAAATAGCATAGTTTTACAGATAATTAATTTCGATTTTGACCTTTTGTTTTAGATTTATACCGAGACAAACTTTCATTTTACTCATTTTTTGTATTGTAAATGTTCGTTGACGAACATAAAGCTTCGCATAATCACCGCCCGTGACCAACCATGTAAGAGGCTGTTGTTACTGGTTCTTGCTGCCACCGTCGCAAAATATATGCATCTCTCACAGGCCACGACCGTCTTCCTCATCGCCCCCCCCCCACGACTTGCAAATCACTCTCGCGGCTTAATTATAAAGTAAAAGAAACTCGTGCTCTTGGGAAGTGCTCCGAAATTATTCAGTCTGCAAAGAACAAAACTTGAGCTACGCAAGGTTTGTCTTACAAGAGATTTGGATCAACGCGAACTTAGATGGGAAAAGCCGGTGCTTCCCTCGAGCTTGATTGAGTCCACTTTTGCATATTGAAGAGAAGCGTTTCTGGCTGCTGCCCTGCCGAGACTTGGCTCAGCGCACACCAGATTACCTCGCTAAACTCCTGAGAGCATCATTAAAATTATACAAATGGCTTGAAGGCCAGCCTCCTAATCTCATATGCTTGCTATCTCAGGACGATCCTGTTAACTGCATGCTTTGGTGAGGTGCAACCATTGCCGGACGATCGCATCAGTGAAATCACAACCAGGGTAAACATCAGTGAAATTAAACTTTCGCTACGGAATTTTGATTCCAGATTGGTAAATTTAGTGTAATGTATTCATAGAATACTTATTTCTCTTTTTGTATGAAAATATGTTCAGACCAGTTACTCTTTATTTTTTAATAATAAAATTTAAATTTATATCATTCAATCATGTTATCTCATTCCTAGGTGAATGGTCTCTGTTAGCTTACTTATTCCCCTGCACGTTCCATTCAAGTACCAATATCTTCACTCTACAATGGAATCAGTGAAATTATTGCGTTAAATAGTGTTTGTCTTAGTCTTTACTGTGTTTTTTGTATTCACACCTTCGTTTCCCTTTTCGAAAACCAAGAATTCGATTTTTTTTCGTTGGTTTCCCGATTGCTGCAGCGGCGCAGCGGCATTACAATGGCGGGGCTCTGATCGACAGCATTTCTCTGTCCAATACCTGTAGCAAATCGTGGTTAGGAGCGCAATAACTATTGGCGGGACCCTTGTAATGTTTGCCCTAGTAATAGAAATGTACCTTCGCAAGCTTTTTCCGATATCCGAAACTGGTGTATCGAGAAAATTGGAAAGATTCCAAGTATTTCTTGGCCAAACTTTTCCCTGAATTAAGTTGTTTGTGGCAGGCCAAGCACCGACCGTCTTCCATTTAGGATTTCAATGTACTTTCGCTTGAAAAGAAATTAAATTTCCTAATGGCGGTGCAATACGGCCGCCTCTATAGCAGCTCGCAGACCTCGTCCTGCAGCGAAGGTCTGCTCCGTGAAGGCTTGCTATTTTATAACAGTCTATTCATTGCAGGGCAGGGTTAAAGAGACGTTAAATTAACCTTCAGTCAAGTTAAATATTGACTGTTAAGCTCGAAAATAAGCCCGTCGAATTTATTTAGTTGTCATTTCATTGCAAATATTACAACTAATATTATTTTCCTCACATTAATTAACAATGGGAAAAAATTATTTATTATTAATTTCAGGAGTCTTTGTGATTTTGCTAATATTTCAATGTGGATACTGAAGCAAGCCTTAGGACAACTCGGCCTATACACAACTCAGCCTACATTCAACTCGGCCTATACACATTACACAACTCGGCCTACGTAAAACTCGGCCTATACACAACTCGGCCTATACACAACTCAGCCTACATTCAACTCGGCCTATGCACATTACACAGCTCGGCCTATACACAACTCGGCCAATACACAACTCGACATATACACCGCTTGGCCTATACATAACTCGGCCTACACACAACTCGACACATACACCGCTCGGCCTATACGCAACTCGGCCTATACACAGCTCGGCCAATGCACAACTCGGCCTATACACAACTCGGCCTACACACACAAGCTAGCTGCCTTTTCCCAGCGCCAAATATTGCAGGCGATCACCCGAAGCACAACTCCTGTGAGAGTACAGCAGGTTTTGCAAGGGAACAGATTACGAAGTTTCTTTGGCTTGTGCAATAAATTTCATGCCATTTATTAGGCAGCCAGGATAACTTTAGGCTCGTGCGCGATATACTATGGCGTAGCCCTCAACCTCTGACCTCGCGCTTAAATTTCCTTCTATTTGCTGGACTAACAAACTGCAGGCTTCGATCCTGGCATCGATATCCGAGTTTCAGTAACATCTCTAAGAAGTCTAATTTGCCTCTTTGCTTTTTTCCGGATTTTCAAGCTTTCCTGCTTCATAGATAATTTCTTAAATGAATTCTAGCTGAAGTTATGTTGACGGAAAACTGAAAAAATACTCAGAGTTTTAAACTGATCTTCTCTGAACACAATTTATCTTGATATCTTGTAATAAACATCTTTTGTTTTTTCAACGCCATTTAGCGCCCTGTAATTTCTATCAAAATACCCTATTTTATTAAGCTAATCGATTCCATTGAATGTACAAAATTTGAATTATAACGAAACCAACGCTCTATGTTATAGAACAAAAATTTATTTATATAAATGTATTTTAATAAATGCAAGCTTTTTCACTGCACCTTTGAATCCCTCGTTCCCCCGCTGGATATCCGGTAAAATGACGACGAAGTTCTCGTGTCTTTTGTGTGCAGTCACGTACTTTTTCTAATTGTATTACTGCGCGTGGAGCAACGGTCGTCACAGTTTCTATGCGACTGCGTCCAGGGTTGTGCGCGACGCTCCAACTATTAAAGATGCGTGGGGAAATAAAGAATAAAAGAAGGGAGCCGAGCGAGAAAGAGTGAGCGCCAAGTGGCTCTTGAATGCGTATTCCAACGAGGGACTTTTGCAGATGTTTCCTTTCTTCATTCAAATAAGGCATAATTCAGAGCCAGGCAAATGTTGACGCTCGAGTCGCGTGTATTTACTGAGCTTTCAAGGAAGAGGGCGCTCGTGCTGCCTTCAATATTAG